TATATATATATATATATGATAATACTTATTTATTCCTTTTGGCTGTTATATTTAATAATCTGTACCGAGTGTTTGCAAAATATCTGGACAAACTTTACTGGTGTTTATTTTATTAATTATCCAAAAAAATATTAAACATAAGTTCGCAAATGTATTCTTTCCCAAATTAGCAACATTGAAAGTCGTAAATTAGCAGAAAGATTTTATCATAAATTATTAAATATTAATGTTGGATACCAATATAATACAACAATAAGCATGTGATAATGTTATGCAAATATGCATTAACATATATAAAGGTAAAGTTTGACCAACATTTCAAAAATATCCATATTTTAATCTAATTAATCTTTTTTGCAGTTGCATTTAGAAGACGGCACAGAAATTGTGTCAGAAGAAATGAACGAGCCAGATTTTTTCAAACAACATGAGAATTTAGATTTGCTCCAGAACGAAATGATAATTCCGACAGAAGAAAAGGCATTCCTCACATCTAATACAGTGCCAAGCAATGACAGAAACAATACAGAAAAAAGTGCATCGGAAGTTACCTCTAATTCCCTGGGACCTTCTGTAAAACTTTTTGATTCTACCTCAAACAATCTGCAGTCTGAAAGAAAATCTACTATAGGCGGTAGAACAGGTCAATCCAAACGTCCTGGTGGAGTAAGTTCATTTCGTGATTAACGTAATAGTTGCAACACGAAATTGTATTACAATTATTGTTTCTTTAATTACAGTTAGGGAAGAAAACTGGGAGTTTAGGTGCTCAAAGGGTTAAAACTAATTTTGATGAACTAGAGAAAAGCGTTGCAGAAGCACATAAACTGGCACAAGAAAAGAATAAAGAAGTAACAAAGGAAGAACAAGAGGAACTCGCTACTCGTCTAGCTCAGCGGTACGAACACAATTTGACTCAACAGGCCAAGAAGGTGGAAGAGAGAGCGAAGCATCTGGATCCGTCAAAAGCCTCACAGGTGGAACGTCTTGGAATGGGATTTAATGCACGAAGGTAATAAAAATACACGCTCTATCTCATTCTCATACATTTCAAGAGCACATGTAACATTTGTTTAAAGAGTTTATGTATAAGTTATCTTTTCTTTTTCTTTTTTTTAGTGGTGCAACTCACTCCGCCCTTGGGGACATGAAGACAATAACGCAGGAATCGAAAGGAGTAGTGACATCAATGGAGGTGCTTTCTGGAGAAACAGAATCTTTCTTTACTTTAGATGAATTTTATTCGGTTTACGCTAACAGCAAACCGTCTTCGCGCAATGACGAAATTGTGGTCGTAGCAGAACCGGAACCGCCTAAACGATTAGGCCCTTCCACTCGAAGCATAATTACGAAGAGCGATACAAAAATCTCATCTATTATAGAAGGCGGCGAAGCTCAGAAGAAATTTGGTAGCGCTAAGGCTATCAGTTCGGAGCAATATTTTCAAGACAGTACTTCCGATAATGCGGTATGAACAAATTATAAATTTTTATTATTTTTAAATTATAATTTTTCTAAAAAAAATGTCTCGGATTAAGATTACATTTTTTAACATGTAAAGTCTTTTTCTATACTTATTCTTGGATATTTGAATTTTCAGTGGGAACGTAAGAATAATTTACGGCGATTCGAGGGCTCATCCAGCATCTCATCGGCCGATTATTTTGGCGAAAACTCTCCAACCTCATCCACATCCTCGTTATCCATGCGTTTGACTGCGGGAAGAGCCGGAGTTGTAGATCTCGATGATGTCCGAGAGAGCGTACGTCAAGGAGTAAACAAGGTTGCTGGGAGACTCAGCTCGCTCGCGAACGCGGCAGTTTCTTCTATACAGGATCGTTATGGACTCTAAATGAAATCTATCGCATTTTATGAGAACTGTTATACTACTTATTCGGACCCAGTTTTGTCCATTGTTCAGAGTT